GCACATGACGGATAATGCGGCGAGCCTAGACTCGAAGTCGATGGGGTTGGTCAAGAACAACATACTATACCAGGATAATGAGAGCGCAATCAAGCTCGAGAAGAATGGGAGATCGTCAAGCACCAAAAGGACCAGACACATCAACATTCGATATTTCTTTGTCACTGACAGAGTCAAGAAAGGGGAAGTCTCTATCGAATACTGCCCTACCGATGACATCGTCGCCGACTACTTCACAAAACCACTACAGGGAGCTAAGTTCAGGCGATTCAGGAACACCATACAGGGTATAACTGAGAAGGACTATCTTCATCATAAGCAACTATATGATGATGCTCGGGCGCTCCGTATGAAAGATCAAGATAGCACTGTAGCTGCAGCCTCAGCCTAACGCTTGCATCGTATAAACCGTACTGATGAACACGTAACAGGTCATGGGACTCGCTACCAATGCTACTACGCAAGCCGGCAAATTACTACCACTCCAGTGAGGAGTGTGTTGACGAACAGACGGTGTGACCATCATCGATGACGTCATATTTGTTTATTTGTCCATAGAGGACATATTTGTTGACTATTTGTCATAGGAAATGAGAATGAGAACCGAATGTGTGGATTAAGGAAATGTTCCAATCTCCAGAGATTCTCATTCTTTACTAATTTATCTAGTCAATAGGGTTATTGCTCTTTAAGGCTTTGTACTTACGTATCGAAACAACAGTTTCATCTTAAATGAATCGGGGATTTTTCCTTCTGATAATTGATCTGGTGTCTGTCATCTCCAAATTTTTCATTAAAAATCTTTTTTCTTCTTTTGACTGGACGTGTTCTTTTTGACACAACACAATTTGTAATATAATCGGCGAGCTACTCACGCAGTACATGTAATCCGTATGTATTCTGATTCCGTACTCTGGAAAACGCTCCTTAAGGGAGAAAAAAAAATATGTGCAGTCGAGCCGCGCAGAATACATACGGATTACATTAAGTAATCTAATGAGGTCGAGGTTGAGGATGAGGTTGTGGAGGTCGAGAGCTTGCTCGAGACCGGAACAACCTCATCCGAGACCGAGACCGAGTTAGATTACTGTCAGCAATCAAACAGA